ATATTATTAAAAAAGAAATGTACTCTTTATCTGACTTATGTAACTGTAAACCCTCTGTGCATTACCTTTACAATAACAATTTTAAATGCATGAAAAGAAGAAAACATACAGGATTATATGCACATATACGCAAACAAATTGACTAAAGTATGGTATATCCAGTAGGAGATTCCAGTGGTATAACTCCTTTGAACAACTAACCAGCACATTAACAAAGCAAATACCCAGAAGTTGAAGCATGTTTTGTTAGGGAAGGTCAAGGGAAGTGGGGACAAAGGAATTGAGAGAGAAAGGGTGGGTGGAAAAATTCATGATATTCAATACACACATGTGAAAGTGGACCCAGGTAATGAGGGATGGAGAGAGAAGGATGTAAAGGGTGACTCTGATGCAATGAGCTCATAAACGAGCTGACACGTCCACTCAAACCCCCTTTGTACAATGACTGAACATAACAGAAATAAAACCAAAGAAAAAAGAAAGAGAGGAAGGAAGGAAGGAAAGGAGGGAGGAAGGGAAGGGAAAGGAGAGAGAAAGAGGAAAGGAAGGAAGGAAGGAAGGAAGGAAGAAAGAAAGAAAGAGAAAGAGAGAGAGGGAGGGTGGGAGGGAGGGTAGAAGGGAGGAAGGGAGGGAGGGATGAAGGAAGGAAGAGGGGGGAGGGAGGGAGGAAAGAAGCAAGGGAGGGGGGGAGAAAGAAAAGAAAGAAGGGAAGGAGGGAGGGAAGAAGGAAAGAAGCAAGGAAGGAAGGGAAGGGAAAGGAGAGAGAAAGAAAGGAAAAAGAAGAAAGAAAGAAGCAAGGGAGGGAGAGAGAAAGAAAAGAAGGAAGGAAGGGAGAGAGGGAAGGAGGGAAGAAGGAAGGGAGGGAGGGAGGGAGGGAGGGGAAGGATGAGAGAAAGAAAGGGAAAGGAAGGAAGGAAAGAAATGAAGGAAGGAAGAAAGAGAGAGGGAGGGAGGGAGGGAGGAAGGAAGGAAGGAAGAAAGGAAAGAAGGAAGGAAAGAAAGAAGGAAGGAAGGAAGTTAAAAATCATTAGAGTCCTAAGGTGCTAAGAGGGTGAATCTGACGCCAGATCAACCGCCCTGGGCATGATTTGGGCAAGTGGCTTTGTTCCTGTGAGCCTCGTTTCCTGCCCTGCAAATGGAAACAACGCCTACCTCCCTCACGTGGTGGCTGTGAGAAACAGGAATGGGACACCCCTGCCCTGTGCCTGTCACAGAGAGCCTCGTTGACAGCACGGTCAGGGGAGGCTTCATCTGCCCCTTCTTCTCCAGGAGGACTGGCGGTCTGGGTCTGCACCTGCTGACCTGCATAGCTGCCTCCAGCACTGGACTGTGAGCCCAGAAGGACAAAGATGTCCCCCTGTTCTGTGCACAACTAAGTTTCTAGCCACTGATGGAGAAGAGGCTTGTTAATTAATTAATTGATTAATTGATTTTTTTTCATCAGTAGCTGCCAGAGGGTCTGAAGAAGGAATGAAAACAGATGGGACTTCACTCAATTTGAGATTTTTCATAAATATTTTCTTATTTTTAATCCTTATTATCAAGATGATATACAGAGGGATTACAGTTACATAAGTCGGGTAAAGAGTACGTTACATTTTGGACAATGCCACCCCCCTCCCTCGCTCTCTCCCAGTTTTTCCTTCACATCCCCCACCCACAATTTGTAAAGTTCATTTTCAACATAGTATCTGGAGAGTATCATTGCTGCATTTGTTTACCCTTTGTCCCTCCATTTCTGTGCCTAGCCTTAGCACCCCCCGCCAAAGACTTCAAACAGAAAAGAAAAACAGAAATAAAGAAAAAAACCTCTTGTTTCCATTTCCTGGAGTTCATGTCAGTAAGTATAATTTTATATGATCAGAAGCACATAGGCATTTTTTGTGCCTTTCTGTTCCTCTAAGAGTATCTTCCTTTGGTCTCATTGTGTGTGAATGCCTACAGACCTGTATAAGTTACTATGTCCCCGTGTAGTTTAGATCTAGCTTCCCTGTAGGGGAGAAAACACGTGCCATTTGTCTCCATGAGCTTGGCTTACCTCACTTAACATGATTTGTTCTAGATCCATCCATAATATTCTTTGTAATGGCTGTGTAAAATTCCATTGTGTATAGGTACCACATTTTTTTTCATCCACTTATCTACTGTAGAGCATCTGGACTGTGTCCACAACTTAGTTATTGTGAAGAATGCAGCCACCAACATGGATGTGCAAGTGTCTTCATGGTATTCTGGCTTGTGATGTTCTGGGTAGATGCCGAGGAGTGGTAATGACCGTGTCATTAGGAAGCTCTATGAAAAACAGCTATTTTTAATGACTTGCCTTTCCTTTCTCACCCTTTCTACTTTGCTCTGCTCTCCTCCTCCCGGAGGAGGCTTCGTCTTTGAATTTGCCATTGCATTTCCTAAGAATTCTCTCAGACAGCCTCCATCTGGTCGCCGGAACAGAGAAGGAGATTGATTTCATTCCTGTTTGGACTTGAGATACAAAGACAGCATCAGAGCCGGAGGCCAAGGGAGCCAGCACAGCGCCGGCCTAGACAAGTAGAAGACTCTAAGGGGAGGAGCCCTGAAGATCAAAGCTCTGAAGATTTATGAGTGTCAGAATAATAGGATGGTGGAGTCCAGAGGTCTTTCAGAGACCCTCCAGCTGTCACCTTCATTCCTCTACAATTTCGTTCACCCATCCTCCCTTTGGCAAGTGCAGAAACTTCTGGAGAAACTGGGGTCCCAAGAAAGAATCTAGCTACGCAAGGTCATCCACATCATTGCTTGTCACGCAAGATGGTTTGGGCAAGCCTCTGCTTATGGCAGTAGCTGGCTTCTGTGTTAATTCGGGAGCTCAATCATTGTTTCAGACCATGGAGGACGGGCAGAAAAAGAGCAGAAGCTTTGAGACCAGGCCAAACTGGATTTCATTCTGTGCTTGATCACTGCTACACTGTGCGATCTCAGCCGAGTTACTTCGCTTTTCTAAGCTAGTGCTTCCTGACCTGTAAAATAGGTATAAGGGTCCTGGCTCCAGTGGGTCCAAATTCCTAGATTCAAATCCCTGGCCCCACAGCCTGAGTTTCTAGGAATGAATCTAAATGGTCACTAAGATGGGTGACAGAAACTGAATTCCATGATGACCTACTCAAAATAAAGCTATTTGCAGAAAATTCTCATTGAAACCAATACAACCACTCAGCAGCCTTCCTCAGTGACTTAGGAAGTCAGGAATGTCACAATGGAATTACTTTATGGTACCTGTTTTCTCATTTCCCCAGCATGAAGGCCCAGCAGACATTATCTTGACCCTAGCTATTGACAAATATATAGACAAAAGGCTGGGAATATAGGGCTGGGAACATGTGCTGAGCCCTGTTTGATCTCTAGCACTGTGGGAGAGGGAGAAAGGAAGAAAAAGAAAGAAGAAAAGGAGAGGGAGGGAGGAAGAAAGGGAGGGAGAGAGGTGAGGAGGGAGGTGTGTTTCCTACACAGGATGGAGTCGTGTGTGCGAGAGATGAGGTCTGTATATGCTCTTTAATTCTGCTTTAAAATGTATTTCTAATTTAACTGTTTAAGATAGTTTTTTTCCATGTTAATTGGCAGTTGTGTTGATGTTACTGGGTTTTCTACAGAGTGCCAAGAGGCCAAAATTTAAAGCTTAGTAATCGTAGCAGTAGTAGTAGTAATTTGTACCAGTCCTGGGGCTTGAACTCAGGGCTTGGGTGCTGTCCCTGAGCTTATTTTGCTTAAAGCTAGCACTCTATCACTTGAGCCACAGCTGCTCCACTTTTGGTTTGGGTTTCTTTTTTTTTTAGTAGTTTATTGAAGATAAAAGTCTCATAGAGGAGCTGGGAAGGTGGCTCAGTGGTAGAGCGCTTGCCTTGCATGCATGAGGCCCTGGGTTTGATTCCTCAGCACCACATAAGCAAAAAGAAAAAAGCCAGAAGTGGTGCTGTGGCTCAAGTGGTAGAGCGCTAGCCATTCGCTGAAGAGCTGAGGGACAGTGCCCAGGCCCAGAGTTCAGGCCTCACGACTAGACTCCAAAAAAAAAAAATTTTTTTTTAAAGTCTCATAGACTTTTCTGCCTGGGCTGGCTTTGAATCATAATCTGCAGATCTCATCCTCCTAAGAAGCTAAGATTACAGAGATAAGCTACCAGCACCCAGCTAGGCTGATTATTTTAAACCACAAAACTATAGATGGCTTTGTTACAAACAAAAGATGGCTGATAGAAAAAAACTAACCAATGCTTTTTTTTGCCCATTGGTTCTCCATTCCCACTTGCTAGTTAGCTTTCTTGTCACTATGACAGAACACCTGACATCAACAACCTGAAAGGAGGAAAGAGCTGTTTTCACTCATGGCTTCAGAGGTTTCAATCCATCCAGGCAGGGAGAATGTGATGGAAGAGAGCAACTCACCTCATGGCAGCCAGGAAGCAGAGAGAGACACAGACAGAGACAGAAATTCAAATAATTGACTTTCTTCTCTTTCCCCTTTTATCCTCCCTGGGGCCTACTCCTATGAGGTGAATGTTGTCTGCATTCAGGGTGTGTATTGCCCCTTAGTAAATACACTCTGGAAACAGCCTCACAGACAACGGTATGCTTTACTAACCTCCCAGGTACCTCCTAATCCAATCAAGTTGACCATCAAGATTAACTATCACATTGCCTAATCTCAGAGGACAAAAAAGGTCAAAGTCCAAGTCTAATTTGCATCTGGAAAACTTTATTAGGAAGTCAGGATCAGGGAATGAGTAAGGTTACCCCAGGTCACACAGAAGAAGAGAGAGAGGTCTTCTCAATCCAGAGGTCATCAAAGCCCAGAAGGAAAAGTAGCTGAAAAATGGCCAGAGACACAATGCCAAGTCAGTCCAGTCCCCAATGAGTACCAGGATATATTGCCAGCTAGCTCTGATGTCAGGATACACTGTGCAGGATCCTTCCAGGATTTGCCCACCTGGAGGATGCTCATCTGGAGCTGGGCAATGAAAGTTGTCGGGAGTTCTAATACCGAATTTTGTGGCCTGGGGAGAAATAAAAAAGGAGGAGAGGACTTCAAGTGAGAGCTTGGAGAAAGCTGGGGAAACTGGGCACACAGAATCTGAAGCTAAAAGAGCTAAGAAACTCAAAGAGCTGAGGTGGAATTAGTAGGAGTTCAACCAACCTGTGGCCTCCTCTAATTCCACATCTCTCCTACAACAACTATGACAGATGCTTCCATCTCTGAGCATGGGAAGTTCCCAGGTCAGACTTTCCCATCTGCCCATGGCTGTGTTAGTAAAGTCTTTAGACAGTGAGGGAAAAGATGGGCCAACCTCTCCCCTAGATGCACATGCGTGCCCCTGAAGTACCGTTGGAGACATAAGACCTAAGATGGAATGTCCACAGCTACTGCAAGGCCCTCTGAACTAAACACCTAGTGTTTTACTGTCATTTCACAGTAAATCTTCATAAAGGTCCATGTGTAGAGAGGGAAATTTTTCCCATGGATCATACCTGCATGTTCCTTACATTTAGATGAGCATGTTCATTATAAACTTCCTCTGGAAGTTGTGTCAGGTAACACAATGACATTATTAAGTACTGGCTGTGGAGCCACACAGGGCTCCACATAGGATTTGTATGATCGTGAGCAAATTACTTACTTTTCTGAACTGCATTTTCCTTCCATGGACCCTACCTCATAGAGTATAGTGGAAAATGTAGCTGACAATGCACAATTTTCAGTCAATTGCCTCTATTGCTAAGACTTGGGCCTATGAGGAGATTTGGTCCTAACTTCATCCAAAGTTGTTGAAAACAATGGTCAACCCTACATCAAAGGCTGGTCTATGGCATCTCACTAAAGATCTTCCTAAAATCCAATTCTGCTTAGAACGTGTATCCTTCCCCCAAAGAAATTCAAAGATATACAACAACAAAAAAGAGTGGTTGTTGAGCATTCATGAGGCCCTGGATTCAATCCCCAATGCTACAAAAAAAAAAAAAGCAAGATAAAATAAAACCACTTGATTCTTCCCCCAGAATTACCCCTTACCTTGTGAATGATCATCACAGTCTTCCGATTTTGAGGAAGAAGACTGAGACTGGGATGGCCTTCTACCTCCTCCCATGGATCCACTTCCTCCTCCAGAACTGCTTCCTCCTCCATAGCTGCCCCCACTTCCTCCTCTAGAACTGCTTCCTCCACCATACTGGCCTCCACTTCCTCCTCCAGAACTGCTTCCTCCACCATACTGGCCTCCGCTTCCTCCTCCAGAACTACTTCCTCCTCCAGAGCTGCCCCCACTTCCTCCTCCAGAACTGCTTCCTCCACCATACTGGCCTCCACTTCCTCCTCCAGAACTGCTTCCTCCACCATACTGGCCTCCACTTCCTCTTCCAGAACTGCTTCCTCCACCATAGCTGCCCCCACTTCCTCCTCCAGAACTGCTTCCTCCTCCATAGCTGCCCCCACTTCCTCCTCTAGAACTGCTTCCTCCACCATACTGGCCTCCACTTCCTCCTCCAGAACTGCTTCCTCCACCATACTGGCCTCTGCTTCCTCCTCCAGAACTACTTCCTCCTCCAGAGCTGCCCCCACTTCCTCCTCCAGAACTGCTTCCTCCACCATACTGGCCTCCACTTCCTCCTCCAGAACTGCTTCCTCCACCATACTGGCCTCCACTTCCTCTTCCAGAACTGCTTCCTCCACCAAACTGGCCTCCAATTCCTCCTCCAGAACTGCTTCCTCCTCCATAGCAGCCCCCACTTCCTCCTCCAGAACTGCTTCCTCCACCATACTGGCTTCCACTTCCTCTTCCAGAACTGCTTCCTCCACCATACTGGCCTCCGCTTCCTCCTCCAGAACTACTTCCTCCTCCAGAGCTGCCCCCACTTCCTCCTCCAGAACTGCTTCCTCCACCATACTGGCCTCCACTTCCTCCTCCAGAACTGCTTCCTCCACCATACTGGCCTCCACTTCCTCTTCCAGAACTGCTTCCTCCACCAAACTGGCCTCCACTTCCTCCTCCAGAACTGCTTCCTCCACCATACTGGCCTCCACTTCCTCTTCCAGAACTGCTTCCTCCACCAAACTGGCCTCCACTTCTTCCTCCAGAACTGCTTCCTCCACCATACTGGCCTCCACTTCCTCCTCCAGAACTGCTTCCTCCACCATACTGGCCTTCACTTCCTCCTCCAGAACTGCTTCCTCCTCCATAGCTGCCCCCACTTCCTCCTCCAGAACTGCTTCCTCCACCATACTGGCCTCCACTTCCTCCTCCAGAACTGCTTCCTCCTCCATACTGGCCCCCACTTCCTCCTCCAGAACTACTTCCTCCTCCATACTGGCTTCCACTTCCTCCTCTAGAACTGCTTCCTCCACCATACTGGCCTCTACTTCCTCCTCCAGAACTGCTTCTTCCACCATATTGGCCTCCACTTCCTCCTCTAGAACTACTTCCTCCACCATAGCTGCCCCTACTTCCTCCTCCAGAACTGCTTCCTCCTCTATAGCTGCCCCCACTTCCTCCTCCAGAACTACTTCCTCCTCCATGCTGGCCTCCACTTCCTCCTCCAGAACTGCTTCCTCCACCAGATTGGCCTCCACTTCCTCCCCCAGAACTACTTCCTCCACCATAGCTGCCCCCACTTCCTCCTCCAGAACTGCTTCCTCCACCGTACTGGCCTCCACTTCCTCCTCCAGAACTGCTTCCTCCTCCATAGCTGCCTCCACTTCCTCCTCCAGAACTGCTTCCTCCACCGTACTGGCCTCCACTTCCTCCTCCAGAACTGCTTCCTCCTCCATAGCTGCCTCCGCTTCCTCCTCCAGAACTGTTTCCTCCACCATAGCTGCCTCCACTTCCTCTTCCAAAACTGCTTCCTCCACCATAGCTGCCTCCACCTTCTCCCTTGGACCCACTGCCTCCACTTCCTCCTCCATGGCTCCCTCCACTTCCTCCTCCATGGCTCCCTCCACTTCCTCCTCCATGGCTTCCTCCACTTCCTCCTCCGTGGCTGCCTCCACTTCCTCCTCTCCTTCCTCTGCCACTTCCAAAGCCACTTTGTCCAGCTCCACTGGAGTCACTGACAAAAAAGAAGAGATAAAATGAGTGAACTTCATATACTATACAAGAATAAACCTGCACTGAGTCAAGACTCAAATACAAATCTTCTTGTTTCCTTCCTAGGAAGCAGAGGACCAAAAGCTGCAGTGGCAGCACAGCTGGGAAGCGGGCCCTACTGCTGGAGAACCCTCCCCTCTCTGGCACAGGGCTGGGCAGCCCTTACATTATTGTCATTACCTTTCCTGAGCTCAAATGTCCTGAGTTTCCACCCATCCCACCACAGGATAAAGTCCTGGATCCATCAGACCCTTGCATACAACATCTTCTCTAGCTGCCCCTTCAGATGGACAGACAGGCCTAGGAAGTCCCAACGGGGCTCCACGGTACACCAAAGACCTACAAGTCTTCCTGGCCTCCCTCAAGGAGGCGGCGGTAGGTCTGAATTTCCTGCTCCAGCTTCATCTTGATGCATAGCAGAGTGCTGTATTCCTGATTCTGGCACTCTATCTCTGCCCGAATCTGTGCAAGCTGGCATTCAAGTTCACTGATTTGCCCCTGGATCTGCTGTAACTGGCCACAGTAGTTGTTCTTGGTGTCTTCCAAAGCCTTTTCCAGAGCTGATTTCTAAGAGGGGGGGCGGCAAAAGGAGGTTTTTAAGAGGATGCTACACAACCATTCTTCTCCTTGCCATGCCCGGAGATCAGTCAGTCAAGGCCTTTTGTGCCCCATCCCCACCCTGGCAGAAAATCCACAGTGGCTCCACCAACCGTGCTGAGCTGACCCTCCAGCTCAATCTCCAGCTCCTGGGCGCTGCGCGGAAGCTGGGCCAGCTCCCTCTGGTTGCTCTCCATCTCTTGGCCACTAGTTGTCACTTCTTGTTCAATCTGAGTCATCTGCAAACCCAAAGGCTCAGTTAGGACCAAGCAAGGCCAGGCGCTTCAACGGACAAGACTCTGCTTCACCTACCAAGAGCTTCCCTGTGAAGACCAAGGCTGAGCCTAGCCAAAGATACTTTGAGTTCTGGGTTCCCTCAGACTGGCAGAGTTGTCCAGGTCACACAACAGGATATTCCTTCCCCTTCTTGGCAAAGTTTCAAAGCCATTCATACTGTCTCCAGTCTCTCTCTCTCTCTCTCTCTCTCTCTCTCGCTCTCTCTCTCTCTCTCTCTCCTTTCTTTTTCTCCCTCTCTCCCCCTTTCTCTCTCTTTCTTTCTCTCTCTCTCATACACACACACACAAATTAACGAAGTCTTAAATAATATAACAAGTAAGTGGTTCATGTTCTAGTTTTGTTCACACATACCCTGAACTATGTATTTCTTTTTGTTTTGTTTTGTGCCAGTATTAGGGCTTGAACTCAGAAGCAGGGTGCTGTTCCTTTTTCACTCAAGGCTGGTGCTTGAGCCACAGCTCCAATTTCTAGTTATTTTGGTGGTCAGATAAGAGATAAAGAGTCTCATGGACTTTTCCTGCTCAAGCTGGCTTTGAACTGTGATCTTCAGACATTAGCCTCCTGAGTAACTGAGTAACTAGCATGACAATCGTGAGCTCCTGGCATCCACCTAAACTATGAGCTTTTTCAGAGTAACAAACTTGTTTAGCTCGTCTCTGAGATACCAGCACTTTCACCCAAGAAAGTAGCACTGAGAAGTTACTCTACAGTTGTGTCTGGGTGCAGTGATGGAAGAGGGGTGAGGGGAAGATCGTTGGATGTAGCCACACTAAGAGGTGGACAGGTGGGAGGATGAGGGTTGGGAGAAAGAAGGCAAGGAGGGCAGGGACACATGGATAGAGGGACAGGAGATTGTAGGGGCAGCACACGCTGCTCACCTGGGACTCATATTGTTGTTCGATCTCCTTCCGGTTCCTAGCAATGATCTGCTCGTACTGCTCACGCATCTCATTGAGAGTCCGAGTGAGATCTTTGCTAGGAGCAACATTTATCTCCACGTTGACATCCCCGTCATTCTGGCCAGTCAGCTGGCTCATCTCCTGCCAGAGAAGAAGGAGACATGAGGTCAGGTGCAGGATCCCTCTCACCCTTTTTTCGGATCTTGCTCCATGTCCCTCAGAGTACAAAGAAAGGACATAGCTGAGAAATCAAGGCTCAACCACCACCCCAACTGGTGTCCTCTTCAGGAGGACATTGCTCTATAGCGCCTCCTGCTGTTTGTGCCCTTCTGTACCCAATAGGTCACAGTAGTAGACTCCTACCTCCTGGTGGTTCTTCTTGAGGGCTTTCAGTTCCTCTTGTAGGGACTCATACTGTATCTCCAGGTCAGCCCTTGCCATGTTCAGAGTATCCAGCACCTTCTTCAAGCCATTGATGTCAGCCTCCACCGATTGCTCCAAGGTCTGCTCCATCTCAAATCTGTAAGGCAGCCAGAAGCACGGTATGATCAAAAGGATGACTGGTCCTACAGGGATCTCTAGAGCACTCGGAGAAGAGGAAGGACAGACTGCAGCAGAGGGAGAAGAGGGCAGAGCTCACTTAATCCTAAAGTCATCCATCATCATTCGAGCGTTGTCAATGTCCAAGAGGGTTTTGCTGCCACGCCGTGTCAGGTCCAGAATCTGAAATAAATAAATAAGTAGAAGATGGCATGAAAACCCATGACTCCTTGTTCCCAAACTCACTGCTTGAAGAGAAGGAGGCCAGATAAAACCATAGGAGGGAAGAAACCCATCCAGGAAGAGATTCAAGAAGCAAAAAGAGCTTTCCAACAGGTTGCTTTCATTGAGCAACTATTTGAAGAGCTCCTGAAGAAGACACTACAGGACTTAAAGATCCGTGAGAGACTGCTCTTCAAACAGCCCACCATCAATTATAAAATCCAAGGTAATACAAAAAGGAGAAATGGTTTATGGTTATGAAAACTTAGGAAAGACATCAGGAAGATGGTGGTGATTGAATTAAGCCCTCTAGAAACATCACATTCAAGGCATGAAGATAGAAAAGCAAGAGGACAAGGTGAAGAACCAGACTGTGAGCTTCCTGGGGTTGAGGGCTAAGTCTGGTACACCAAAGGAATGGAGTAAATGAATAGACAAGTAGATAGACGTAAAGATAGATGGAGGGAGAGAAGGAGAAAGGGAGGGATTCCATGCCCAGATCTTAAGATCCTCTCCATCAGTTGAATAAACATATATCTGGTTCCAAAAGATGAAGATGACAAGATGAAAATAATCATCTTCTAGGAACCCAAGAGAAGGAAGAAGGAAGAGGCAAGATTGAATTTAAGACCAGGCCCCAGCCTTACTCATATTAATCGAAGCTTCTTCTCTGCTTTTATACTCTGAAAGTAAGAAGAGTTTGAAAAACAAACAAACAAAAACAGAACATAGGCCAAAGCCTCCGCCTTGGAGCCTTCAGGAGGCCAACACGGGTTTGTTTCCGATGAAAGTTTAAAGTATCTGCCTATTGTCTAGGCTTAGCTTCAAATCTACTATCCTGTGGAGTGGGGGCAGACTGAAAGAGTGACAGAGGCAGAGACACAGAAAGAGACAGAGAGAGACAGATAGAAAAGCAGAGAAACTGAGACCAAGAGGGAGAGCTCTAGGAAAGTCCCGGGACCTACCTGGTCCTTGAGGTCTTCAATAGTATCATAGTAAGGGGAGTAGTCCTTCTGGAAGATTCTGGGCCCCTTGGACTGATACCACTCCTGGATCTGCTTCTCCAGGTGAGTGTTGGCCTCTTCTAGTGCCTGTACCTTATCCAAGTAGTTAGCCAGCCGGGAATTGAGGTTCTGCATGGTGACCTTCTCGTTGATGGCCAGAATGCCACCATTACTGCCTCCAGCGCCACCTCCAAAGCCTCCTCCAAGACCCCCAGATCCACCAAAGCCTCCAGCACCACTACCAAAACTCCCTGAACTAAAGCCCCCACCAAATCCTCCACCATAGCCGGACCCAAAACTTCCACCACCTCCCCTCCCACAGGCCCCAAAGCTGCCTCCACCATAGCTACTGGAAGAGCTGAACCCTCCTCCTCCTCCTCCTCCTCTGGCCCCTGTGGAGCTGAAGCGGCTGAAGGAAGAGCTCATACTGCCCCCACTGTCCCTGCCACCCCCACAGCTGCTGCCACCGCTCCACAAGGACGAGGAGAATTGTCTGCAACTCATGGCCCTGCCTGCGGTTCACGGGAGTGCTGCTAGCCACCCTGCTGTCCCCACGGCCATCTACTTATAATCCCCCACCATTGAAGGTGGCCCGCCTAGGTGTGCCCTCATCTGTGTGTGCCAACCTTCCACCACCACCCCCTCTCCAGACTCAGCGAAGGTCTGGGATACAGGACAGACAGGCAGCCCCAGGCTCTGCGTCCCTTGGACTGCCCCACAGGGGGCCCAGCCTCTCTCTATTGTGTAGGATAATTTGATGACATTAGGCTGTCAAAGGCTCCATAAATCAAGTCTCTTGCTAAGGGGGGTTGACCTATATCCCACAGTCTAGTCGCCAGGTGACCTTGACGGCAGGCCTGAGACTTAGTCCCTCCCAGGAGCCAAGAGAAAAACTCCCAGAGGGAAAGTCATCTGCTGAGGGATGACCATCACTGGGCATAACCCTCTCCTTCCATCTCCCCCTCCGCACCTGGGCCCTCAGGAGAGCCCACCTGCACTGAGTCAGGGCTGAGGTACAAGGAGATTAAGGGAGGCTGAGGGAGACACAGCTCCTGCTTCTTGGAGTCCCCTCCCCCCCCCCCAGCAACTGAACAGAAACTCAATTCCTTCTCCCAGGATCTCTCTATTGACAGGGAAGACAGGAGCTCTGCCTTTAGGAGCCCCTAGATGGCTGAGGAGACAGGAGGCATGGCCAAAGATGGAGGGACGTGTGAAGCACCATGTCTGCCAAGCTCCAGAACAGCCCACAGAGGACTGGGTGGATAAAGAAAGCCAACCCAAGCCTGGCGGGCACCACTGGCTCACGCCTGTAATCCTACCTACTAAGGAGGCTGAGATCTGAGGATCACAGTTCAAAGCCAGCCCAGGCAGGAAAGTCCATGAGACTCATCTCCAATAAACCACTCAGAAAACCGGAAGTGGTGCTGTGGCTCAAGTGGTAGAGCGCTCACCTTGAGCTGAAGAGCTGAGGGATAGCGCCCAGGCCCAGAGTTCAAGCCCCAGGACTGAAAAAAAAGAAAAAAGGAAAGAAAACGAAAGCCAACCCAATCAATAAAGTACTGCTGATGCTGGCTGGACACATCTTGCACAGGGCCCAGTGGGGGCATGAATTTGGTTGAATACCCGTCTGTACTGAGCCATAGAGGTTGCAAGATACAAACATGGGCTCTATTTTTGCTCCCGGAAGTAATTCCCATACAGATTCTGGTTCCCAGGGCCAGAAAAAAAGGAATACAAGAAGGCTGTGGGTACGAGTGCCCACCCAACCTCAGCACACAGGCTCACTAGCTGGGAGACGTTGATCCCTTAATCATGCTCCAGTGTTTTGCTCGATTCCTCCTCTATAAAATGGTGAGACCACATGAGAAAGGCTCAAGATCCATCAAACTGCTTCTAATTTGACCCCCTAAGGCCCTCACAGCTCTGTGCTGTCCTACCCATCCTTTTCTATTCCTTCCCCTTCTCTTCCCATTTCCCAGATGTCCTCCCAACTCATACAGGGATCCAGGCCTGTAAAGCCAGCTACTTTAGAGGCCAGCCTGGGCAAAAATTGGCAAGACTCCATCTCCATCAAAATAGCTGATCATGGAGTCTTTCTCCTGTGGTTCCAGTTATACAGGAAGCATGAATTGCCTTGGATCATGGTCCAAGGCAATTCTAAGAAAATATAAAAGACCTCATCTGAGACATAACAACAACAAAACCGTTGAAAGGAAGAGACCAAAAGGATCAAGAGGGACCTGAAAGAGGACCTGTGGATGGCATTACAAAGGACAGCATTTCTGGAAATGTTTCTGGATGATGTATGGAGACTATGTTCAATAATACAATGCTGAGTCAGGCGTGGTAGTACAGGTCTATAATCTTAGCACTCAGGAAGATCAACAATTTGAGGCCGGCCTGGATGACATAAAGAAACAAAGCTTTGTCTCAAAGGAATATATATGTATATATGTGCATATGTGTATGTATGTATATCTAATCTATTTTTGGAGCTGGGAGGTGGAATAGGAGCTTGGTGCATCCACTCCATGCATCAGTCTGGTATTGACGTACCTCAGGAATGGTGCACCCCTCCTACAGTTGTGGTACTTAAAGACAGATGTGCTAGTTATTGGAGCTCTGCCTTTGCAACCCAATAGCCTCCTGTTGCACCAAAATGTCTTAGTCCTGTTTTCTTAGCTAGTGACATCTTTGCCTACACAATGGACATCCGTCCTCCCTAGATCTCTGCCCTGGAGGCCTTGCTTCCTTCCCACCTTCACCTGATCAGATGTCTACTTCCTGCCCACTTCCCCCATCACCCAGGATGGGGGGGCGGGGAGAGAGAAGGTAATAAATCACATGATAGAAAATATATTTCCTTTTCTATTTTTCAATCTTTTTTTTTTTAAAGAAAACCTATCAACAGGACTTCATGCTCTTGCTTCTTAGAGTTTGCATTCAAGGCTGAAGATAAGAGTGTCTTGCAGCCAGGCACCAGTGGCTCATGCCTGTAATCCTAATCTCAGGAGGCTGAGACCTGAGGATCACAGTTTGAAGCCAGCCCAGGCAGAAAAGTCTATGAGACTCTTATCTCCAATAAACTACTCAGAAAGAGCCAGAAGTGGTGCTGTGGCTCAAGTGGTAGAGTGCTTGAGCACGAAGAGGCTGAGGGACAGTGCCCAGGCTCAGGCCCTGAGTTCAAGCCCCAGGACTGGCAAAAAAAAAAAAAAAAGAGTGTCTTGGAATTATCTGTCCAGGAAGGTTTTGAACAGGGGTCCTCACATCCTAGCCTCTTGAGTAGCTAGGATTACATGCATGAGCTACTGGCACTCTACTCAAAGATTTTTTTTTTTTAATTGGCATACATTTGTTATCAAGGGAGAGTTGTGGTGACATTTACACACACACACACACACACACACACAAATATACAATGTATTCTGATCAGACTCACCCTCTCCATCACTCTTCTGGGTTCTTTTGTTTCTTTCTTTTTTTTTTTTCAATAAGTTTTTTTATTGTGAAAATACCATACAGAGGGGTTACAATTACATGAGCAAGGTAATGAGTACATTTCTTTTTTTTTTTTTTTTGTCAGAGGTGGGGCCTAAACAGCTCTGGGCCTGGGCACTGTCCCTCAGCATTTCAGCTCAATGTCAGTACCCTACCACATGAGCCACAGCGCCACTTCCGGCTTTTTCTGCTTATGTGGTGCTGAGGAATCGAACCCAGGGCCTTATGCATGCAAGGCAAGCGCTCTACCACTGAGCTACCTTCCCAGCCCATGAGTACATTTCTTATGAAACATGGTTGCCTCCTCCTTTGTTTTTCCCCTACCATCCCTGCCCTCCCATCTCCACGACTACACTCCTCCATCCCATCGCTCTTCTTTATTACCCCCGGGCCTGTCAATCACCAAAATATGTTCAATAAATATTTAGATGAGTGGCACGGAGTATGTTAATTACTAAATTAGATTGAACAGACCAAGTTGGAGGCATTTGGTGAGTGTCTAAAACATGGGAAACTCCCCAGCCAAGGCTGGAGGTTGTGACTGCCTAGTTCCTGGGGTTCTAAGCCTCCTTCCTGCCAGCCTCTACTGAAAAAGCCAACATCAGGCTGCCAAGTGGTCTGAGGCCTGGGCTAGGCCTGGGCTAGGCCTGGGCTAGGCCTGGGCTGGTTTCTCTCGTCCTTTCTTCTGCTTTGTCAGCCTGACTCTGAAGTCACCTCTTCGGGTAGGATTCATACCCCCACATCCTGGTTCCTATGCTGGGCAGGGGAGAGGTTGGGCAGAGCTCTGGGGACAGCGCACAGCATTTGTGTTCTGTCCTCAGCAATCTTAGTAGGCCCTGTCTGACAACTGGTCAGGAGCTCCAAGCCATAGCACACTGTCCTGCCCATTCTGGTCAGAGAGGGCCCATCACCAGCCCTGGTGTTGAACTCGCCCATGCCCTCACCCCCCACCTCCACTTCCCACCTTCCAGCACTCTGTCTCCAGAGCCCCTCCCCAATGCCCAGGACCTTGAGCTGCCCTAGAGGACACTGAGCATCGACTGTCTCCCACACTACTCACCCAGGGCCAGCTAGGAAGGACTTGCCCCATTTTCATGGGGTGGGCTGTAAAGCTCACCATCCCCTCTGCATTGACTATAACCTGATTATGTAAATGAAAGTCCCCTCTCTGGCCAGCCCTCTGCCTGGACTGCAGGATTCCTGAACCACTCTCCTCCCTTCTGAGTAAGAACATGCCACAGGCCTTTCTACCGGATCATGTTGGCTCTCACTGCCTCTGCCCTCATCCCCCAGTCCTCTCCACTGGGTCTCTAGGAACAGTACAGTAGGGTGAGCAACACTTCCCCGGTCAGGTACCACTCCACCATCTGCTGGCCTCACCTTCTCTACCCTTGTGGGCCTGACTTCATTAACCTCATGGGAAGCCTCTGAATATTGTGTTGCCAGGGGGTATAAATACAGTTCAGAAGAGATGGAGGAGCCTCCCGATAAACGTTCAACTACTGCCTGTGTGTAGGCAGCCCCCTCCCCCATCCACACTCCTTCCCTCCGCTCTTCCTTCTCCTTCTCTCCCCTCCACGTCTACCAGTCCTTCCCGTGTCTGGCTCTGCTTTCCATGCAAAGAGGAGCTGGCCACGTGGGCACCTCCTTCCCTCCAGGCATAAGGTGTTCAGGTGGTTGGAGCTGGTCTCTCCCTTCTCTCAAGCTCTCTGCCTGGCATGAGGAGCTAGGTAGACTAGGCAAAATGGAGGCAGGACGAGGAGGTTTGGCCTGAGTGAAGGACCTCTTCTCTCTGCTGTGTACCGTGGCTTGCTCTTCCCTCGGGGCTCAGCATCTGCCAGCAGAACCCCATCTCACCCCCATCCTGGGGTGGGGGAAAACCCTCCAAAATCTGAACCAAGAATGGAGTCCCTGTAGCTCAGGAACACCTCATCACATGAGTTCCAAGGAGAATGAATGCTGTTGCCTATAGCCAAGGTCAAGGCTGCAGCTCCTACTCCCAGAAG